TTTATGAAATTCTGGAATATATGCAAACCTAATAAACCTTTTTGGAAAAAATATGAAGACAAATGTCTTTGTTTGCTGTTGGCACATTCACTTTTCTTCATCAGGACTAACAATAACAGTTCAGCTGTGTCACCACATTGCTGCAAATGCGTAGCCAAGCAGGATCTATTCCAGGCTCATGTGGAGCCAGAATTTAAGCTTGACTCATCAGTTCTGCCCATCATCAACCTGATCTTGCAGTTTCACAATGACCTTCTGCCACCGTGTGTTTTTTAAGGGCTAAACAAGAATGTCTTTTGAAAATGCTCAAACCTCTCTCTTCTCCCTCATGAAGGTCATTAGCAGTTATTCAAGGAAGGAAGAACTGTATTCCTGTGTATTTCATTTCCCCATTGCTCATTGTTTGTTTTAATAAACTGATTGTTATCTGTGAAAGCACTTTAGTGGTACAGGAAAAGGACCTAATATCTTACATAAGGCTGAAGGTGACAACATCCACTTATTGTATGATAAAAAAAGGGAAACTTACAAAAGCCTGACACTGATTTTTAATTGTGTTTAAAAAACACACTTATTTTACTGCTGTAACACCTTTTTTGTTTATATTTGAGTTGATTAGAAAAGCAAATGTTTAACTGAAGTAGCAGCTTGTGTTTACAGGTTCACAGAGCATTTTATAGTGTTATTATAAAAATAAGTCAGGATTTTCTTATTCAGTCCTTTTCAACATGATCTTCATTGTTACTTATGAGAAGTACTGTTAGTCTCAACTATTGTTGTTATTTTTTTCTGGTGCAGATGACAGATAATAACAGCACGTGGATCAGTAACAATTCAAGGGTCCTGTATGAATCAAATAATATCCACTCTACAGATATGTGTGTGGAGATGTACACTAACTCAGGAAAAAATAGAAGGAAGTTGAATGATAGAAGTGTATCACAATTTTTGTTGCATAGATTAGTAGTTTTACCTTGTAAAATATTCATTCTGTTATTTATTTCATTAAGTTTTTTTATATGCTTGTATATTTGTTTATATCTTATTTTACTGATCTATACACCATTCCACCATTTTTATTTTTGTGTTTAACTATTGTGACAGAGCAATTTCCCAAAGTAAATTTGATGGGATAAACTCAATAAATCTTATCCTAAAACTAATGATTTTATATCAGTCATCAAGGAAAAAGACACAGTCTTCTGTACAAAGAAAAACAAGAATCTGTGTGAGTTTTGAAGTGATAAGTGAGCTTTTATTGGTGAGGTTTTTCTTAAAACCCAGTGTAATGCAACATCATGTGAAGATGGGAGATGCCAGGAGACTATCAACAATATCACTGTGAACATGGTTTTGAGGGAGAAAGGTGCCAAACGTGAGCAGTTTAGTATTGAAATCGGCAAAGAGCTGCCATTCAAAGTCAGGACAGGTGCTCCACACTCGCGGGGTCTCAGCCATTCCTCACACTCCGGTCACGCCTCAGCTCACACTAAATCTTCCAATAAGCAGGGAAAAGGAAGGGTCCAAGAATCTGAAGCCAGGAAGGGAAGCAATCACTGAAGGTACACGATATCGGACAGGAATCTATAAGCCGGGATTCTCACTAACGTGGTAATTCAATATTCCAGCGAGGAATATTTTTTCCTCTGCCGCATCGATCCTGCTTCCAGTGAATCATTATAAGTTATTAGCATGAACAGGGCTCGTCGTAGTACTGTTACAGTTATCACATTGTCAGAGCTCTGATGACAATACGTGGATTGGCAGTATCGCCTCTCAGTAGGAAGGTTCCCATTTAGAATCCTAGTTGGGACCTTTATGTGTGGATTGTGCATGTTCTTCCTGTGCTTGTGTGGGTTTCCTCCCACAGTCCGAAGAAATACTAGTCAGATGAAGTGGTGATTCTACACTCCTTCATAAGTAAAAATGTATAGATTAAAGTATGAACCTATTATTAGATGTTGCTGCTGGTATAAAGCGCTTTGAGAGGTCAGTGTGACTAGAAAAACGCTATACAAATACTTTGAGATCTGTTATTTTTATTTTAGAAACTTGTTCGATTATATTACATTAAATTATGCATAACCCATTTGTGCCCTTAGCTGTGTAATGCCCTTCTCTGGATCAGTCAGAAAATGGATACCATAGCTGCTCAGAAGGAAATCAGACATTCAACACAACCTGTCAGGTTAAGCGTAACCCTGGCTTTCTCATGATTGGTTCACCAGCTGTCATTTGTAGACACACAGAGGTCTGAAGTGGCCCAAGACATACTTGTGCATGTAATTTCATAAAATTGTGTAAATGTTTGTAAAATGTTGTTGGAAAGCAAGTTAAATATGAAGGCTGACAATTGAACTTATGGATCGTGTTTTTTCTTCATTCTAGGTTATTACGATCAGCAATACTAGTGTCATGCTACTGTCACTGCATGTTGGGTTTTTTTGTTTGGTTTTTCTCCCCTTAGACTATAAACAGACTCTATTAGCTGCAGTCGAGTGTGGAGCTATTTTTACCTTCTGCTGCATCTGTTTTTGCTACATAAAACATAAACATACTCAGTTTTTCTCAAGTATATGTTATAGAAGTAAGAGAGCGTATGAAATCTCATTGCAACACCCCTCAAAAGTGATAATATCTCTGTTTGTTTCTCACGAGAAAGAAACTTACCCAAGTAAGGTCAGTGTTGAAATTATGCGTTGCTGCTCCACCCTTCCACACAGCCTTTGCCAACCTAGCAATAAAAAAAAAGAAATTCAAAGAATGAACAAAAAAGAAAATGCTGAGAGCTTTCTTTTTGTTTTTCATGTTATTCACAGGCTGCCTGAAGAAGCCAGTCCATCATGTGATACACAACTATAAACAACAAGTCTTATTTAGAACAGTTGTACAGTAACTTATATTAATTACAATGCAGTGGTAACAGGTAGATTCAAAGATGCTCTGGATGCTGTTTTAAATATCAGTAAGTTAAAGTTTTTGTTTAATATGTTGTTAAACTATGCACACGTGGTGTGGTGGTTAGCACTGTTGCGCTGATCCTGAGTTAAATTCCACCATCAGGCCGGGATCTTTCTTTGTAGAGTTTGCATGGTCTGTCCGTGTTCATGTGTGGGTACTGCGACATGCAGTTAGTGGGGATCGGTTAAATGGAAACTCTAAATTGCCCATAGTTGTGAATGTGAGTGCAAATAGTTGCCCTAAGATAGGTGGGATAGGCCCCAG